GGGTTGAAGGTGGGTGGTGTGTGGTGGTGGTAGTGATAGTGGTGAAGGTTGGAGTGCGCCTTCACAGTTCGCTCTACCCCCGGTGGTGACCTGGGGAAAGAAAGATGGAAGACTATACCAAGTTCTGAAGGCGACCATGTTTGTTGTTGAAGTGAACAACAATGTGAAAGAGGCTATAGAAAGTGTGATCCATTGGACCACTTACTGCTCAGCAAAGGGAATCAGTGGACTCGAGTCAGTGGACTGCCAATGTAGAAGAACAAACTTTAAGTCAACTCACCAAGGTGGGAAAACCTTTTAAATACACTGACTTGTGTAATTATGCAGAATGAAGCTGGACTGCATACAGGGAGTTTCTGCCTCTGGGACAGCTCTCGTGATGGGAGCCAGGTAGTGCTGTAGAACAAGACCACGTATTACATTGGCAGCACCTTCCAATTGTCAACCTTCCATTTGACCTCACCTTGCCTGAGACCTTCCCTCTTTGTTTCGCGTTTCTGATCCTCTCCTACTGGCCAACCATGGATTCAATGAACACCTTTCTTATTCTTTCTGAATGTGTTTTGTGGTACTCTCAAAACAGAGAAAAGAAAGATGACATGGTTATAGGAAGTGTGTACCCTAAGTCAGGCCAGTGATTCTGAAGCCGATATTGTCACTTGTCTAACTATCAATATTTCTTTTCTAAGGTGTGAAACTTTCTCTACTTTCTGAAAAGATTCAATTACACTATATGCTTTCATATTTTATACTTTTGTTAGGATAATAGATTATTCAAATGTAAAAAAAAATTCCATGGCCTCATTTCTTAACCAAGGGGGAGTTGGTCGCAGATGACAACATAGAGATAATAGGCAATTACTGAGAACAGGCAATTTTTAAATCCACCAATATAAAAAATAACAAAAAGAAGAGCCATGTAACTCTCAGTGGAGATAGCATATTTCTGAAACAGTAAGTTCTCTAGCACTTTGGGCACTATAAAGAGAAGCAAAGGTCCAAGATATCAAGTCATGGCAAAGGGAGAATAAATGGAATAAAATTGCAAAACTCTTTCACAGCAGTAAGTGTTAAGTAAACCAATTCTATGTTCATTGCAGCATTATTTCTTTCCTTTTTCTTTTAAAGAATTATTTTCTTTAACTTTCTTTCTTTTTTTCTTTCTTTCTTTCTTTCTTTCTTTCTTTCTTTCTTTCTTTCTTTGATCAGAGAGGGTTAGAGTGAGACAGGGAGAGAGAGAGAGAGAGAGAGAGAGAGAGAGAAAGTCCAGGTCCGGGACTTGAACTCCGGTCAGCCATGTGGGAGTCCAGTGCCCTTAACCACCAGGCCACCTGCGGACCCCTGCAGTATTATTTATAATAGCTAAGATTTGGAAATAAGCCGAGTGTCCATCAAAGATGAACAGATGAGAAAATTGTGGTGTGTATATAGAATGAATACTATTCAGCCATAAAATACTGCTACTTGTGACAATAGGGATGAATCTAAAAGACATTATGCTAAGTGAAATATGCTAGATACAGAAAGAGAAGTATTGCAGGATCTCATTTAGATATGGAATCTAAAAAAACCCCCAAAAACAAAATAAAAACAGAACTTATGTAAACCAGAGTAGAATAGCTGTTGCTAAGAGTAGGGGTGGGGCAGAAGTGGGACAATACTGTTAATAGGTATAAAACTAATTATAAGATGAATGAGTTATAGGGATCTAATGTACAGCATGGTGATTATAGGTAATACTGGTGTATCATTTACCTGAAATTTGTGGAGAGTAAATTTTAAGTGCCCTCTTCTCCATGCCCCTACAATGGTAAATAATTGTGGCAACGGATGTTAATGAATTTGATTATGGTAATCATTTCACAATATATACATATATCAAATCATCACTTTGTACACCTGGAATATTTATGATTTTTTGCCAATTATATAACAATAAAACTGGGGGTGAGGGGAAGGGGAAGGAGCAAATAAGGAGTAGAAGGCCGCCAGTCTAATAAGTTACACACTTAGCTGGGAACCAACCTAGCGCCTTCGTACTTTGAGACCTCCTTTCTCCTCCTCCATCCCTTTCTCCCTTAAGTCCTGATTTTATGCCTTCCAGTGGAATTTTAGGGAGAACTTTTATCCTTCACTGCAGCCTTAAGCAGTCATTATTTTTTGGCCAGAGCAGGCACACCCTTAAGATAACCAGCTGTTCTGCATTGTTCAGCTGGTTCTGGATTTTTAATTCTATTCTTTCCCTCTCAGATTCTTTCATTGTTCACTGAAACCTGTACTTTTCCTTCTTACTGTATTCTGTCCTCTCGTATCTTATCCTCTTGTACTTCTCTCTATTTTAGCCCTCTCACCTTCCATAGATTTAAGATTTAACAGGTTTGTTTTATGCTAATTTCTGTGATTTATGCCATGTTGTTCACTGAACTGCATAGGAAAGATGAAAACCCCTAAAGATTATCGAAGGAAAATGGCTGGATTAATAAGATTATTTGTTGCTTTGCTCTATACTGAGTTAGAGTAAATTTGAATGACCTGTCTCCCTCTAACCCCCAAATTGCATGTGTGTGTGTGTGTGTGTGTGTTAAGAACATGAAACATGAGATCTTTTCTCTTAACAAAATTTTAAGAACATGATACAGTATCATTAACTATAGGCACAGTATCTACTATAGAGTTTTAGAATTTGTTATTGTCACATAACAAAGTTTGTATTCTTTGAACTGTAATTCCCATTTCTTCCTTGTCTCAGCTCCTGGCAACCATCATTCTACTTTCTATTTCTATGAGAAGTTTGATTATTTAACTTATCTCATATAAGTACAACTGTGTTTTACATATTCTTCTATGAATGACTTATTTTATTCAACATAATGTCTTCTAGGTTCATCCTTATTGTTGCATATGACAATGTTTTTTTCTTTTCAGAGGCAGAATAATATTCCATTTTATGTATATACCATATTTTTCTTTATCCATTTATCTGTTGAAGGACATTTAGATTTTTTCTATGTTCTGGGCATTGTGAATAATGGTGAAACAAACATGGGAGTGCATATATGTCTTAAAGACTCTGTTTTCAGGGACCAGCAATTAGCGTAATGGCTATGTTGCTGGACTCTATGGAGTCAACCGTGGTTCGCGTCCCAGACCCGGTGGCTTAAACTCATGCCAGCCGCGTGTACGTGAGTGCTCAAGATCCCGAGAGGAGAATGGAGGAGAAGGGATTGCGGTGTGGCCATCCCCCTTGGGGGGTGATTTCTTGCTGTCTCTCTGTCTCTCTCTGTCTGGCAAGTGCATGCGCCCTATAGCAAAAACCTCTCCAAGATTCTGATTTCAATTCTTTTGGACATATATCAATAAGTGAAATTGCTAGATGTCAGGTAACTCTATTTTGAACTACTAGACTGTTTTACATAGCAGCTATACCATTTTACAGTCTCACCAACAGTGTATCAGAGTTCAAATTTTTCCACATTCCTGCCAACACTGATGTTTTTCCTTTCTGATAATGTCATATTGATAGTTAAGAGACACCATCCAATTTTAATTTTATTCTGCATTTCCCTGATTATTAGTAATGTTGGACATCTTTTGCTGTACTTACTGGCTATTTGTACGTCTTTATGGGTGAAATGTCTATTCAAGTCCTTTGCCTATTTTTTTAAGAATTATTACTTTTTATTTTAACTATTTCTATTATTATTCCAATTTGATCAGAGAGAGAGAGAGAGAAAATGAGAAAACAAGCCACAGGTTTGGGAGTCAAACCATGGTCTGCCATGTGGGGGTACAAAGCCTTTAACCACCACACCACCTGTTGGCCACTTTGTCTATTAAAATTTTCCCTAGTCCTTTGTCTATTAAAATTTTCCCTTTTTGCTTTTATATTTTAGGGGTTTATATCTGTATGAAATTTAGTATATACATATATTTATGTATATAAATTCTCATATATATGTTTGTTTATTTAAAAAGGCAATTTACAGAGTTGTTTTATATATATGTATATATATAGGCCACATTGCAATCCCTTCTCCTCCATTCTCCTCCTGGGATTTTGGGCATATGTACACATACATCAGGTGTTTGAAGCCACTGGGTGTAGGACTTGAATCATAGTCAGCCATGTGGGAATACTGTGCCTTTTACCACCATACCACCTGCTCGTCTTACCTTTTCATTCCGTTGATTTTTTTTTTCTTTAAGAAACTTTTTTTTTTTTTTTGGAGAGTTTTCACTGTAGGGCACGTGCGCTCACCAGACAGACAGAGAGAGACATAGAGACAGAAAGCGAGAAATCACCCCCCAGGGGGGATGGTCACGCCGCAATCCCTTCTCCTCCATTCTCCTCTCGGGATCTTGGGCACGCATGCACACGTGTCCGGTGTGAGCTTTAAGCCACCGGGTCCGGGACACAAACTGTGGTCGACTACGTGGGAGTCCAGAGACATAGCCATTACGCTAACTGCTGGTTCCCAAGCAAGAAATCACCCCCCAGGAGGGATGGCCACGCCACAATCCCTTCTCCTCCCTTCTCCTCTTGGGGTCTTGGGCACGCACACACACGCGCCAGGCGTGAGTTTAAGCCACCGGGTCCGGGACGCGAACCGCGGTCGACTACATGGGAGTCCAGCAACATAGCCATTACGCTAACTGCTGGTCCTGCTTTAAGAAACTTTTTAAATTTGATGTAGTCTCATTTATCTAATTTTGCTTTTGCTCCTTGAGCTTTTGCTTTCAAATCTAAAAAAAAAAAAATCAAGGCTAAGCTTTCTTGCATATTTTCTTCTAGAAATTTTACAATTGGAGGTCTTATATTTAAATCTTAAATACATTTTGGATTATTTTTATATATAGTATAAGAATAATGTAATTAATTTGGAAATATATATCCAGTTTTCCCAACACCATTTGTTGAAGAGATTATTTTTTTTTCATTGAGTATTCTTAGCACCCTTGTCAAAGATTAGCCAACACATATATTTTGTTTTGGTCAGCTACTATTGGAGATATTTTCTCAAGGTTCTTCTTACAGCCACTTTCACTTCATTGTTCTTCATGCTATAGATAAGTGGATTCACTAAGGGAGTGATCACACTGTATTGTATGGAGGTGATCAACTCCAAAGGTGACCCTGAGTTTGGTGTGACATAGCGAAGAAAAGCTGAACTGTAAAACAGAAGCACGGCAGTGAGATGGGAAAAGCAAGTAGAAAATGCCTTCTTTCTACCTGAAGATGATCCAATGTGCAGAATGGTAGAAATAATGAGAGTATAGGAGAAAATGATCAGGAAACAGGTTCCAAGTCCATGCAGGAGAGTAGAGCAGAGTGAAACAGTAAAACTTGTGGAAATATCAGAACAGGAGAGAGGGAAGAGAGAGGGAAGCTCACAGCTGTAATGGGGGATGTACTTATCTCCACAGAAATCAAAATCCATTACTAGAAGAATGTTGATAAATGAATCCAGAAATCCAAGGCCCCAGGATACCCAAACCAGCCTCTTACAAAGCTGGTTGGTCATTATGTGACTGTAAAACAGAGGGTGACAAATGGCAACATAGCGGTCATAGGCCATCATGGCAAGCAGGCAGGCTTCGGTGCCCCCAGTATCGAACACAAAAAAGACCTGAGCTAGACATCCCTCCACAGAAATGGTTTTCTTCTGGGACAGGAGATTCTCCAACATCTTTGGCACTGTGACAGAAGAGAAGCAAAAATCCAAAAAAGAGAGATGACTCAGGAAGAAGTACATAGGTGTATGGAGATGAGAATCTGCCTTGATGACTGCCATCATCATCAGGTTTCCCATCAGTGTCAGGAGATAAATCACCAGGAACAGCACAAAGAGCAGAGCCTGGATATGAGGATCTTCTGATAGTCCAAGGAGTATGAACTCAGTGATGGTGCTGTGATTCCTCAAGGCCATTTAGAGAAACTGTAATCTGGAAATAAAATTAGGAACAAATCAAATGACATTAGTAAAAGTGTAGACTGTAAAGCACCTATCTCCTGTCCCATCCCAGAAAGATTTACAACTAGCAGTTTCAGGACTAACATCGTGGGAACTCTACGAAATGGTCAAAGTTTATAGTAACCAAGTAAATACTGAAGAAGAAAAAGATAACTTAAAAATGAGAGCAAAACTCTGTGATTTTTTTTTTTTAACTTTCACTTGTCTAATGTCTTCCTATGCTCAGTATCCATTTTATAGATATTGACTATGTTCCCAAGGTGAGATCCTGGTTCCTGGTTCTGGAGTAAGATGAGCATACCTTATTTATCAATGATTGTGTTTGTCGTCTAACCTACCTGGGTCCTATGGTTCAGCTAACTAATAACTCACTCAGGGCAAAAAAGTGGTGCACATTGCTCAAAAACATTGTAAAATTAACAAAAATCTACAGTTACTTGAGAAAAAAATTATAATTGAAATATACAATAGGCCATTTGCAACTCAGGAGAAAAATCAGGAAGAGAGTTCCTTTGGTAAATTAGGGCATTCCAAACTGCTTGTATGTACTAGGGAATTTTGTAATTCACACACATGCCCAAGAGAATTCATACTTAGACAAGACTTGAGAAGACCTTAAACTTTCACATCTTGCTGCTCCATAGTTTCAGTGCAAGCAGTAATAGAAGGATATGGCAGAATTGTAAACTGTCTTGCATAATCTTGAGAGTGCCCCAGCACAGATCCACCCTATAAAGACTAGGAAAGATTTCCTTTTTCATTTGTAATTTTTAGCTTGTTACATTCAAAGAAATCTCTGTCAAAATAGAGGCTGAACATAAACAAAAGGAAAAGAAACTGTATTCATG